ACAGTACTCTCCAAAGCAAAGAGAGGTTTGGGTTTGGGCTTGAAAAGATTCAAGTGCAAAAAAGAAACCTCGATAAAAAGCCTTAAACACACCAAAAATAACCCAAACCTCTGCTTGGAGAGTACCCGTAGCAGGCTCTTTGGTTTGCGTTTTGACATTGCCTTTTAAAATTGTAACTTATCATCATAATTATCATCATCATCGCCATCTGTCCTTATTGCCACCAACCCCCAAACGGCTGTATGAAGTATTTTGTAGATAACGTTAAGTCTTTGGAGAACCCGGGCTGGCTGGCGCGAAACGCAGTCCAAACATGCGGGTTGTTGAGGAGTTTTGCGCCGCTGACAGCCCGGCTCGTGAATGGATACATTTTGACGGTATTGGGCGCTGCGGGAGGACAAAGGTCACATGTCCCGGATCACTGCCGTCAGACCACCGCCGAGCCGAGCCGCATAGCCTCGGAGAACAGACCTCGGGAAGAACTAACAGCGGCCTCTAGCGGCGGAGACATGTTACTATTTGTTAGTCTCCTCCAGACTTCCTTGGTGGCTGAGATGAGTGAGAAATCGCAGTGCTCTCCGAGCAGAGGTTTGGGTTTTGGCTTATTTTTGGCGTGTTATTAGGCTTTTTTTTATCGGAGTTTCTTTTTTTTTTGCACTGGAAAACGCCCAAAATACATGTAAGCCAAACCCCAAACCTCTGCTTGGAGAGTTAAATCGCAGTGCTTGGCCAAATTTGGCAAGTATGTCTGTCTCTGTGTGGACGGAGTACCACTGTAGAAAATTATTTACACTAGATCTATTGAACAAATTTTCATCATTTTCGACCAAAAAAAAATTAGTTGGGTAGAGGCTAAAATCATATGTTGAAATAGACTGGCTGCAGTTTTGTTTTCCAGTCTGACAGTAAATTCCAAAAAGGAATAGCTTTACGAATACAATCTACCTCCCTCACCATTCCTTCTTATCAAATTAGACATACTTTTTGACAAACCCTATTAGATCTAGCAAATTGCACAGAGCAAGGAGCTTCAACAACAATAGAACGTCCTTGCTCAGAGCATTGGATAAAAAGGACAAAATAATCCTGGCCTAGAGTCCATTCCAAGTCAAGGCGCGGGTTTTTAAATCATATTTCTAATATTTTCAAATAATTTGAAATATTATTATAAATATTCTGAAATTATGATGAAAATGTACGTACCTGAGTAGTATTATTTCGAAAATGTTGTCATAGCTAAAATTTCGAGAAAAAGATTTGGGGTTGGGACACTGATACCAATCAGTTTTCCAGCAGAATTGAGGTACAAATTTGATGCCAACCTTCACCTACAATATTTATCATCCCACGGTCTTTGGCTTGCACCCAAGTACATGTAACGTTACATACAGAACTAATTCTTCAGTTATGCCCTCCAGACAGCGCGCTCGACCACAAACGTCGCACCACTGTTTCCCACCCATTACTCGTCTCCACCCAAACACATGATGTTATTAACGTTTTAGTCGAGATAATTGTCATTTGATTTATCATACTCGCGAGACAGACCGCACACAAGCATTGTACTACTAACAATAGATACTAGTACGTCCTTGGCACAGGTCTTTTCAAATATCAACCATTGCTTGAAGCCATTTGCGGCTGAGTACGAATCCGAATCTGGTCAGAAATCTTCGTGAAACGATCGAAATTATATGTGTTCCCGACAAGCGTGATACAAGAGTCAGTTCTGTCAGAAATAATGTGACAATTATTCGCTTTTTACCGCCAATTATTCCCTGTTTACCTTATCGGCATGCATGGGGAAGCCACAGGTTGTGATAAGAATAATGGCGCGAAATTGTCTGTCGTCTGATTTCTGTCTGGAACGTACTCAGCCAGACACTAGTACACCTTACTTTCCAAGCAGAGGTTTGGGTTTCAGCATATTCTTGGCGTGTTTAGGCTTTTTTATCCGGCTTTCTTTTTCTGGTAAATCGTAACATTTTTCCTGACAGCCCCAACTGAACGCAAATCGTAAACCCCGATAACATTCTACTCAACATTTGCTTGGAGGTTGGGCTTTTAAACCTTACAAAAGCACATTGATTTTGGCAAAAATAAGTGTATGGTAACCTAAAGCCTCAATTAAAAGCACAGACTTGTCATTTCTGGGTCAGAATTACATCAAAAGCGAGCAGGAATTTGACAAACGAGAATCGCAGGGATGGAGTGGAGCTTACTGGCAACCAGGGCCTGACTGGCAACCGATCTGACCGAGATGTGCACCTGAGAGCCGACCACAGCCCACTCCACGGTTCCGCTCCGTAAGAAAGAGAAATGAAGCTTGAGACAGACTTCTGAGGCTCCGACACACGTGACAATTTGTCGACGTGCCCTTCTAACAACACAAGAACACGTAGCACCAGAAACAAAGAACAACTTACAGCCACAAAATGACAATATGTTACAAACATTCCAGAAAAGTCGTCGACAGAGAGCAAGCCCTATGCCGCCCTTTTTTGTTAGAATTAAATGAGTACCCAAAGGTTTCAAACCACCCCTAACGTAGCTACAACAGGCAAAGGTGGGAAATAAATGGTAACCCCTGTCGTAGCCTGCTAGATGATAAGAGAAGAAGTAAAACAGTTCACTGACAGTATCAGGATCCTATCAAGGGAAGGGGTTAGTACGAGTCTGGGAGATCATTCACGGCAGAGTCAAGCGAAACAAGATGTCCGTCTGCGTGTGTTGTACATCTCCTCTACAACATGTCTTAGAATTGAGTCAAGATTGGGGTCACTCTGAGTTCGTCCGCAGAGTTGGGTGGCCTTCGTCAATCTGTTGCAGATCCTTTTAACTTCCTGCTTATGTAAATGATGCTTTATTTTAATACTTTTATTAGTCTATAATTAAGTGTAGTATAAGGGCGATCATTTTTTGAATTCCCGAGATTTTTCCCTATTATAATACTTTCCAATAAGGCAATTCGCCTGCGGATATTACAGATGCCTCACAGGCCGTTTTATTCGTTGCCATGGTTACGACATTCTCAATCAGCCAATGAGAAAGCTCAGCGCGTTCTCAATTTCTACCAATTCCGTCTGTTCATGCTAACGTCGTCCTGTGATTGGTTCTCTAAAGTTTGAACTCTTTTAGATGATTATTTGGAATCCATCCGTAGTAGAACGGACGTTCCTGGAAGTTTTCTGGACTGGAATCTCAGGTCAGCTGCTTTGCGAGCATGAAAATATGAAGGTGACTGAAAAAACACGAAATGCAAAAATTGTTTGTTCAAGATGACAGCAGGGTTGCGGCAGGGTTGGGGTGTTGACAAACGTGTTGAGGTTTTGACAGTACCCTACCCTCCCTTAGATACTCTACCCCAGGCAGAAATACAGTCGACCAGAAATGTTACGATCTTCTATCAGTATCACAAGTCAGTTTGGAGCTCCGTTAGTATTGCGTGGCATGTGGAAGAGTTGTCATAATACACACAAAACCATCGACCTTTTCGACGACTTCAGAGTCATAAGTCGACATAGGCTCACATAGGAAAATCGAGCACTTTTCTTCTTAATATAATGAACTATGTAACAAGAGTTCTCTTCTCAAAAAAACAAAGAAAAGCAATTTCTTGTCTTGTGAGGCACACCGCTACGCTCAGTACTCTAAGAAACGTGACGTCATTTCCCATCAGAAGAAGAAGAAGAAAGCCGTAATGAGGCCTGTGATTGGCGGAGGTTGCGGGTTCGGCGGCGAGGCTGTTTGTACAGGGGGGATGGATCGTGCAGCGGGCCTGGGACTCCGGCCTGCAGAACCAGCGGAAGGCCAACTAAATAAACAGGCGTGACAATAAAATATGAGCGGTGTGTTTAGACAAGTGACAGTTCGGAGGTGGCGAGCCCGCAGAGAAAATAATCAGGCGGGCCGACCTGCGGCGAGCCCGGCCCGAATGTCCACCACCTTCCGCGGTGCAGACAGTCGGGCTCATTAGGCTCTCCTCAATACACACCTCGCCGCCCCTTCCACCTCCCTACCCCCCTGGGGACGGGAGGGGAGGGAAGGGGGTGGGGGTGTAGGGGGGGTCATAGCATCATGGTCGCGTCGGTATCACTATCTTGTCCCCACTGAATTCTAGGCATACACCAGATGACACGAATAAATAAGCTCTGGTAATTTCCAGCCTCGCGCCGGTTTCTCACGACTCTGGGAAGTTTTGGACCCAGGGGGCCACCCCCTCCCCCTCCCATAGGGGTGACCCCCTGTCACATCCGGCAACTTGTCATCCCCCTAACTACATGCACCCCACCCCCCTCTCCAAATGACTGTGTGGTGCGGTTAGACCCCACTCCTTGAGGAGGAATTAGCGAGCAAATATCAGTCGACATTTGTGGGTGTTAGCTTACGGGCTGTGGGGCACGTCCCCCCGGCCACGCGATCTCACCAAAACCATTATCCCTGCCCGCAGCTTTCATCAAAAAATTGAAAACTTACTCCAAACCACCGACCTTAACACCCCTACGTGTGCCGAAGGCCGGGGTCTATATAGCACCGCATTTTCTGACTACGACACAAGTTCGTAGCTAACACAGCTAGCCCTCCCATCGTAACCCAAGAAGGCGACTAGAGGACATAAGAGAAGAAGATACCTCTGTTTTCCCCATGCCGACAGTGACTCGGGGCCGCCCTCGCCTTGTAGCGCCCAGTCGGTAAGCCTGGTGCAGCCAGCACTGGAATCACGCTCTCTCCCAGGACTTTTGTCGCAGCGCTGGACTAAATATTTTGCTTATAGACGATTGATTTGTGGCGAGCAGCTCGCTTATCAAGCGGGTTCTGCTGCCCAGGAAAAGTATACAAGTGGTTCAGCCTGTCCGGTGTCTACAACCCATGGCTCCCGTCACCCGAGCCTGTTGTTTGGATACTGACAGAGGGGACGGTGTAGCCTTACTCCAGCGAGAAAGACCTGTATTCTGTGGCCTGGCCGGTACGAGGGGACCGCTTACTTGTTTGTCCGGCTACCTTACACCTTTACACCGCCTGAAAACCGCCGACTTGTCACCTCCCCGAGATGAAAGACACCGAGACCACCGGTGGGTCAAAGGCGACAACAAAGGTAATTATTTTTACACGCGAAAAATTGGCACACGGAGTTGTTAGTGTACACAGTCCTCGCCCCCCTCAAGCTTACAGTCTCCAAGCTATTAACATGCCTGCGTCTCAACAACGCACGAGGGCCGGGGGGCAGGGTCGGGCGCTTGGCACACGGGATGGGGACAGGTTGTTGAAACTCCGCGCAACACATCACGAGATGTGCGTCAACGGGGCCGGGTGGTTGGAGGATATGACGTGCGGAAAACACGGAAAGGTCAGAGCCATTAGCACGAAGATGTCCCCGTGACAGTGAACGGCTAGTGTTCAAGATGTTCATCGTTTGGATGGCTTTTTTCACGTTGAACTTTTCTTCTACCGGTGTACAAAAAGCGCAATAAATCTGACTGTTGGCGAGTGCACGGTCACATACAGCTTAGCACCACTCAGTTCGTCACTTGACCTTTAGCTTTACATGTTCACAATGTCAATGTCAGGTACGTTAGCGAAATGCAAATTGGTACAGACGCGTACAGTTCTGAAATTAAGGTTTACAGAAGAGGTACATACTGATATACGTTGACATCACTATTTAAGCATTGCTTCTAACAATTCCATACTTTTTGTGTTTTTCACTTAAAAAAAGAAAGGTGTAGAGAGAAAACGAAAAAGTAAAAAAAAGACACGAAAGAGAAAAGAAAGGAAAGAAGAAGCAAATAATTGAAAAGAGAAGAAAAGAAAATAAAGAATGGGAAAGAAAGTAAAACATGCATCAAAGTAGCGCCGCCCCGTGACGTCACTGGAGTATGACGTAACACCTGCTCTCGAAGGCTTCCAGGCTTGTTTCTAGTGCTGAAGTCATACATTAGCCTCTACCAGGCTTCGGGAGGCGGCTGGAAAGAGTTGAAATTGGCCAAACAGAGAGAGATAACATTGGGTCTGCTAGAAAGTACATTTCGGGTACGGCAAAATGTACTTTCTAGTGGACCGGGCATGTTATCCCTCTATTATATATATTTGGCCAATTTCTACTCTTCCCATGGCCAGCCGCCTCCCAAAGCCTGATAGAGGCTAGTCATACATAACAGTTTCCAAACAGCCCGACCTTCCTATCTTGTCCCACGGCGATCTACAAATCTTCACCAGACATCAACCTTTCCACACTTGAGCTACGCACTGTGACGTCACTACAGGGACCGACATGTCTGACCCTATCAGGGGACGGCAATCCATCCTAGCGTGGTGAAACAAAAAACAAAATGCAGTAGAAAGAATCCCCGCGAATATTTTGACCAGGTTGGTAAGTTACTGAATAAAGAAACTCTTTTTACACAACCAAGTCGTTTTATTCACAGCCGACGTTTCGGCACCTGTGCTGCAGTGCAATGTGAACCAGTCAGAACTGCCCTGAGGAAGGTGACGGACGGTCACCGAAACGTCGGCTGTGAATAAAACACTTCGTTTGTGTAAAAAGAGTCTCTTTACTCAGTAGGAAGAAAATCTGCCTGAAAATCTATTGGACAATAGAAAAGTGTCTATCGGATCATTGTCTTCTAAGATCTGTTGCGCAAATAAAACGAAATGCACAATAGTTGTTTTCTGTTCTAGACCTATAGCTAGATCTACATGATAGTACATCCTTGGACTTTTTCGTCTCGGTCTGTATCTTTCGCCAGTCACTCTCCGCGGTTCCAGCATCCAGAACTGCATGTATAACGTTATCATGATTAATATTTATAATAATAATTAGTTAAATCTTAATGCTTAGTCAACGCGCATGGCAATCAGATATTGGTGACTGTAAACACGTCTTCATTCAAGGATGAGGTTTTTTTATGTTCTAGACGAAAGGCAAACCGTTAAACTAAATACTATATGATATTTTTTTTTAAATTGAACAACACAAAGTGGTAAGGCACTCCTCAAGTAGCTAAGACTTGTTTTGACGCTACCACTTACACATAATGAGAGGATGCAACAACCAATCCAATATAAAGGAAATACAGATGATGATACAATATGAAACACTACGTAATAAAGAACAAAGATGTTGGATATGATCTTGTCTTGTCTTGTCTTGTCTACTGAGCGTTTTTGTGCTATGGAAGAAAAACAGAGTCAGTGCAGCCTAGATGAGCTACATAAAGGAAATACAGATGATAATTCACATGTAACACAACGTAATAAAGAGCAAAGATGTTGGATATGATATTGTCTTGTCTACTGAGCGCTTCTGCGCTGTGGAAGAAAAACAGAGTCAGTGGAGCCTAGATGAGCTGTGATGGAGAGAACGTTTCTCACATTTCAGACGACAGGTTTGATTGTTTGAAGCAATTTGTCAATCTCCGCCTGACGTCATCAATGTCACTTCGACGTCAGAAAAAATGGCGGCCGGTAAACAGCCTCCGCACATTCTGGTGATGTCATGACATTCCCGTCATGCCTGTCGCGTCAGCTGCATTCTGGCGGGCGGGGAGGAGGGGGTAACAACCGTGGGAACCCTCACTGTCACAACAGGGCAGAAATGTGAAGTGGGGGCAAGTCCTGTGTGGCTGGGGGTAATCTCCAAGCAGATCTGTGTTGTATATAGGTCCCGTTCCACCCTGTGCGGAGCATAAGGGTGGCGCCCATCTTCATTTCTGGAGCCCTTGGGCCACACAGTTGTGCGAGCACTATAGCAGGGGGTTGTGTGTTGACCTTCCCATACTCTTTCTCATATACGCTGAGTGCTCAGCAGAAAAAGCAGTATGTACCACTTTTTAAAGTCTTTGGTATGACCCGGCCGGGATTTGAACTCACGACCTCCCGGTTACAATGCGAGCACTCTACTGGTTGTGTTGTATGCAGTTCTCAAAGTTTATTCGCTTATCGCGTTATCGAATTAAAAAAATAATAAACAGAACACATCTTCAGGAATAAAGTGGCGATTATATTGGTCTAGAAACGTTTTACATTGGTACTCTCTATTTGCATACGACCTTAGGCCCATGAAGGGCATATAGGGTATAACTTTAATAATAGGATATCTTTTCCAACAACGGTAGCGCTTGTATGTGAGAGATCGAAGATTGTAACATCTGTCAGTGTATTTTTACTTAGTAGGACTAGGCCAGAACCCTGCTATATGGAGAGAGTTATGTAGACATATAGTCGTTATGGAGGTCATAGTCAATTTATGACTTGTTATGACTGCAGCATCCGAAGCCTTGGTGGTCTCCGATTGGATGTCGGTCGGGAAGACAGACTCACTGCGCCGTTAAAAATCAACTGATGAGGAGATGATGACGAGGAATGTGGACAAGATAAAAAGTGCTCATCACTCTGATCACGTGATGACAAGATGCTGGAGTTATCTGTTATGAGACTGACCACATGCCTCATGTGTTGAGCAGACCCGAGTTGGAAACGATCAGAAAATACCTGGTGTAGATAAAGTAAGTCCCCTTGACACCAGACTCTTCCTTCAACATAATAACGTAATTTCTTTTAGTCTGTACCAGACGAACTACACTGGCTATATATAGGAGAATATTTGCCAGGGGAGTTTGGCCGCCTTAGGGTTTGACTGACCGGAAAGAAACAACCTTCCGCGGCCGGACTCCCCTGGCCAATTTTACTCTCCTTTTTGCCGAATTCTACGTATACGATCCGTATTCCCGTAGAAAGGCCTGGTGGAGGCTACATTTCTTTATTTATTTCACGTTTGTCTCATATCGTTTGTGTTGTTTCAAACTATTTGTAAACCTGTTTTAGATTTTATGTATGGTTCTACTGGTCTTTTTTTTACAGCAGACATACACCGAATCCCTCTACAAGACCGTCAGTAATGTTTTGATGCATGTTTTCTTCAGATACGTTCTGCCCATGGGATGTCTGGTCCATCCAGCGATTCAGACCTTCAAAAAGTACACCAGCCGTCTTCTTGTGGGGTCCGCGTCTTCCTAAGGTCCCAGTTCTGAGAACTTGACAGAAAAGAACGAGTAGACGACGTTATCTGTGACGTAAAAGTTGTCCAGGTGTACCTCCGAGCGCACAGAAAGGATCTGTTTTCTTATGATACAGACCAGGAGACTGGGACTTTCGTTTACATAAGATATGACTGTGTGCAATGAATCATGAATATAATGATTAGAAACACCATTCAGAACAGGCAAGTCAAGCCAAAAGCAAACAAATCAACACAGTGACCAGATAACAAATTCTTCGTGTTGCTCAAGAACACCGAAACCTTATATTCCGAAACCTTACATTCCGAAACCTTATATTCTCCAGCTTAGCCTCTACAAAGCACCGCGGATCGCTAGAAAAATAGTAGCAATTGGCCAGAATAAAGGGAATAGTATACCCGGGGAGTTAGCCGGCCAGAGAGGGCACATTTTGCTATTCTCTTTATTTTGGCCAATTTCTATTATTTTTCCAGCTATCCGCGGTGCCTGATAGAGGCTATACTTTGGTCTTCAGTCTCCACCCCCCTCTAGTCAGCCTTTAGCTTGAAACTTCCATAGTTTATGAAACCTAGTTCTTGCCTATGTCAACAAAAAAGACAGGAGAACAGCAGATTTAATTCTGATCTAAGCCCGCCTCTTGTATAACGCCCATCGCAGCAAATTACGGGATTGTGGTAACCCCGATATAGATGGCTATCTGTCCGGGCCTGGTCAGTGTGTAGTGGTGGTCCGGGCCGATGACACCGGTTATCTGGTCCACTAGCCCGTATCTAGTGTCCAGACCACTGATACTGGACAGGTGAATGGACGAAAGGTCTCCCCGCTAACTGGTCACATTTGTGGCTGGCGATAAGCGGACACATCGCTGAGATACTAGTATATATATCCAGACCACACATACGATCAGCGAACCGAAGAATTCATGTAACGCATATCATCATGACTTCTTTGGGCTATACTGTTACAAAAATGATGATTTGATTAAAGTTGATACGGCCTTTGCGTCCGGTAATGAGAAAGTTGAATGTACAGACTTCTGTGGACAACAGTAATGAATTAGCCTCTACCAGGCTTTTGGAGGCGGCTGGAAAGAGACATAACATACCGAGGGAGTTGGTCCGCTAGAACGTACTCGGGTGCGGCAAACTGTACTTTCTAGCGGAACTCCATTGGCATGTTATCTCTCTATTTGACCAATTCCTACTCTTTCCAACCGCCTCCCGAAGCCTGATAGAGGCTAGTAATGAATTACTAGTACTTTTTTTTTTAAATCGCAACAGCAGGTAATTAGACCAAAAGAAAACTAAGCTTTCATGCTTTCCCGAACTAAAGTCACATTATGAAAACATGTTAAAATCGAAGTTAGATATATGTTTTTCAATTGTTGCTCAGCAAAAGAATAACAACTTATTGGCACGAAACAACATCACTCTGAAACAACATCATGTACTTTCCTAGACTCGAGTGTCATTTGCGAAATGCGCTTTTCTTCCAGAAAGCTTTGAAAAAAAATGTATCTTTTCTCTCTTTGAATAGGTCGCATATAGAGTCTAACATTACTAACATCCTGGAGTAAATATGAGCAATGAAGATGACACGCAATGTGTTTGAATAACAAGCCCATCTAACACCGGCAGTGGAAGGGAATATAGCAACGTAAAGTAAGAACGGACACCGGTTCAGTCATATCTAAGGCATGTAAACATCTTTCAGGTCAGTTGGAGATTACAAAGATTATTTTCAACCCAAAGCCGGGGCATTTTTCTTTCCGTATTCGCTTCTTTTCGTGTCATTCCGTCCGTCTAAGTCTCGGTTACATCCCCGGTGCCAACCCAAACGCAGGTGGTTGTCTCAACCGGAAGTTGGCCATGGGAGAGTGCCCGTGCCATTATTTCAGGTGTTTCGATGTTACTTTTAGGGAGACCACTCTTGATCTAGCATGTCGGAGTTTTGAGGCGATTATTGTGACAGATGAAATCCCGGGTAGGCCCCGGACAAATCCTCCGCGTCAATCAGCGCAGGAGAGCGGGGTGAGTGTGTCTCAAGGGCGGTGCGTCTGCAGACAACCTCGCTTCACGCAACTTTGCGGACATGAACTTGCCTTTCGTCCTTGCAATGTCTTGAAAAAATCACTGACAAGACAATATAAAAGACTTCCGAAAATAGTTTCATCAGGTTGGGAAAGTATAGGATACAGAGGGTTTCTTTTACACAACCAATTCTGTCACCCAAAGTGCAGAACTCCAGTCAGAAGCGCTGAGGAAGGTGGTTGAGAGACACCGAAACGTCAGCACTTTAGGTGAGAGACGTGTAAAAGAAAACTCATGTATCCTGTATAAAAGACTGGAAGACGCTTATACACCAAAAAATGAATTTCATCGAGTTCTATATTGTCTTTGCGTTATAATTCTAAAACATGTTTCAAGCAAGGAGGTTTGAACCTTATTGTTTTAAGCAATAACGCACTTTTTTGAATTTCAAATGAAGCACCAAGGTTTGGCTTTTTTAAAACCGCCATCATTAAAACAAAAGAGTCATGACAAATTGTCTTGGTGGTGAGTGACTTTGTCCTTTCGACCGTCTCTCTCTTCTGCATTCACTCCTCAGTGACACCTGTGTGAGGGAGAGCCTGGGACTGTACCATTCGCTATGATGGGGGTGTTCAGGCTACCGATTCTGTCATAATACCGGCTTGTATACCACTGTTAATGTTGTGACGGTTGGACTGAATATTATGAAGTCCTAGACCCTCCCCTCCACACACACGTTTCCTCAACCCAGGTGGCCCCGTCCATTCTGACTTCGCAGGTGCAAGACCCCCGAGTCCCTCGCCCCCCTCCCACCCCAAAAGGGGATGCCAGCCCTACTGAAGTGTTTGTTTCCTTAGCGTTTGCTGGCTGACTTCAGCGAAAAGAAACATTTCGACTTGATTATGGTCGGCTTCGCCGGTGGTCCGGACACTGAGCATTCCCGCCTAATCGTTGCTTGTCACTATAGATTATACAAACCCCGGGCTTTGGGAGCGTGTTTACGTATCACAGTACTACCAACCTTTTATGGAACGCTTGCAAGTGGGGAACCAAGACCACAACACAGTCACCGTGCAACATTTTTTTACGTCATTGTAGATTCAACTCCACAAGGAACCCCAGTCCTATCACAAAGTCACACCAAGTTCTATTAAAACTGAGGTTTTCAACTGTTTGTTGTTATACCGAAATTTTTAGAGCATGAAGCTCAGAAGGAGCGTCAGCCCAGGCTAAAGTTGCTAGGCCGACAGCTTTACAAGTTAAAGCACTTCTTGTTTTTCGTCCACTACAGTACTGAGCCCGGTGTTCCGGTATTTCTACATCCACAGACTGACAGTTTTCTGACTCTTTTCTATGACAGGAACATTAAGGCTTATTTCAACCTTGAGCTCCTTGAAGAGTGATTTTTGCTTTGAGACCACATTTCTGACCTAATCTCCAAGCAGATCCTAGGGTGACAAAAGACAGTATCAAATTGGCCAGGCAGTATCATATTGGCCAGAGAAGGTCCATACGCCACGCAACCCTTTCTTACCAATGGATACTGCCTGGCCAATTCGATACTGTCTTTTGCCACCCTAGGGCATCTGCTTGGAGATTATTTCTGACCAACTTCGCAAACAATTAAGTATTATGATCAAGTTCGGATTGTTTCTTAATAACGTATCAATGTTGTTTTCACGAAATTCTATCCATGTGGTCTTCTACACATTTATGTCCAGTCCACCATTTTAACCCGAAGGTCACAACCTGAAGGACCTTTTGGTTCAGTTCGTCTTCACCACCCACAGAGCTGTCCCACTCAGGGCCTCGGCACCCTCTTCACATAAATACTTAGACGATAGACATCCTTTTATCATTGTTCTTATAACGACATGTACTCAACCTGACTGTCTCGTCGAAGGGCGAATTTTGAACCCGTTTTGTATGCTTTACATTTGGGGATGAGAAGCGGCAGCTGAATGCGTGGAACGTAAATAGAAAGATATTATACGGTCAAAGTTATAACTCATACATATACTTTTGTATACTGAAGATTGATAATAAAAGGCGTCAGCTGAAATGAATGCGCGGTACTTTTAATGCGGTTTGACCTGTGTGAACGTACATGGAATTTTCGTGTGAACAATATCTAGCAGAGAGTGTAAAAGCAACCTACGACTCTTCAGTTAGTATCAGTGATATCCCCTCAAAGGTTTGCCTAGTATAATACTTTCCAAGCAGAGGTTTGGGTTTGGGGTTATTTTTGACGTGTTATTAGGCTTTTTTTTATTGTGGTTTCCTTTTTGCACTGGAATTTTTTTGTTGGGTTGGGTGAAAAAAAAAAACCCAGTGCAAAAAACAAACCCAGATAAAAAAAAAAGCCTAAAAGCACGCCAAAAATTAACCTAAAACTCAAACCTCTGCTTGGAGAGTATGTCGAGAGTAGCGCTATCTTCTAACACCGTAGCCAATCTACGATTTTTTATGAAAAAAATTCGGATGCAGGGGATATTCTGTCTGCCTTTTCTGTCTGATGCATTTTTGCCGTCTGTGTAAAAATGACCTATGCAAAGGGGAATAAATACTGATCGATATTCCAATGTTCCGTCGAAGCATACATCTGTACTAGCTGTCTGAACACCCAAGTATAAAAATACGTAGTTAGCTTTTTTCACATAGCAGACACCATTGTTATCCAAGCGAACTACAAGTAGAAGTTAACGAAGACCTGTTGATCACAAGGTCGCTATCTATTGTTAATGTGTTTGTTACGGGACAAGTCGGAAAAATAAAGGTAGCGGCGATGTTTATGCAAACTGTGTTGACACTGTGGGTAACCTGTTATTGGACAAACGCAACATCGGTACCAACAAGTTCCGAATGCAACTCTCCGACTCAGACACAGTACTGCCTGATCGACAATTTTAAAGGCATCCAATGCAATTGAAAACCCGAATTTTCAAAGCCAATATTCTAGTCATTTATCTACATACTGAGTTGAAACCACACTATCCCAATGTATATTGACAATCATAGAGCCAATATTCTTACAGAAAACGGTAATTGGAAGGGCCCTGGGCTGATATTTAGGGTACCACCCAGAACACAAAGGACTCATTTTGGGGTTTGAAAACAAACGCAAACGTCGGTCTGAGACATCCCTCAGAGAGTGCCGCCATGACAGTGATCACCTGTACGCTAGCCAGGTGTGTTGGCTCACGGAGGACTAGCATAGACATGATACTCCCACGATTTTCAGAGAAGTCTTACAGGTG